CAATTTGATCGTCCACACCGACAGACAGACAGTATTCAGAAAGAGACAGAGAGAGAGAAGAGGGGAGGAGTAGATCTTGCGAGAACTTTCAGGCAATACAAAATGGCGACTCGCGTAGTTCGGCTCGATTCGAAAAGTGAAATAGCCCTAGCATCTTTGTAGACGTTCAAATTAGCCTACTTTTGTGCTATAAAATTGTGCGTAATTTTTTCTTTGCTTTTATCCATTTGATCGTCCACACCGATAGAAAATATTCCGAAATTAGGAAAGATAGGTCTTGTTTCACACCGGGTGAGAATAGCCTATGGTGGCAAGTCTCACCCGGGGTGAGAAGTCGATCGTATTTTTATTCTCACCCCGGCACTTTTTAGGTAGTTCCCACCCCGCAATTGTTATTCTCCAGTTTTGGCGGTAAGAGAAGGGGGGTTTCAAGGGGGCTTGTCCCACTGACCTAATAAAAATATGGTGGGGGGTTTCAGGGGCCCTGAATTTTACCATAATTTGATGTTTTGCAGTTGTTAGGTTTGATATCTTAGCTTGCTGCGCATCAAACGTATAGATCTAGATGTAGATCTAGGCTCAAATAAAGGGGAGGGAACTACCGAAAAAGCGCAGAAAATTTTAGGCCAGCTCTATTCGGACTCGAGTCCGGTTAAATTTGTTGTTTATTTGGACTCGAGTCCGAATATATGGGTTTTATCTATTCGGATGCAAAGGGGAGCGTCACAAACTGCACAGCAATGATTGATGTCTCTTTTCCCTGTGCATGTTTTGTTTCACCAGGTGGATTTGCACCAGATCTATCACCACGTAAAACCAGATTTTTTAAAAAAATGTCTGTCTATCAGGAGAGAGAGACAAGGGAAAACTAAATAAGTCAATGATGCCAGGCAAACACTCAGTGGTGTGAGATCAAAGTAAAAAAGAGACATCATAAAGAGAGGACAGGAGGTGTCAAATGACAGTGTGGGGTACCCCCCTAGTCCTCTTACGGCCAGTGCTGCTCTCTCACTTCCCAGTCTGATGACTGTCAGGAGTTTAGGCCTCTCGTTAGAAAATATATAGAGGCCTACACTCTATTGCTGTATGAATGCAAATTTAACCTTGTTCTATACTATTCAGAAAATGTTTGAAACGTGAGAATTTACATAAATTCATTTACGTGCTCAATTTTTTGGCTGGAGGCCAGGCAGAATTAAGTAATGGCAACATCTCAATACAAAATTTGACAAATATTTCATTATTTAATTTAATAAGTCAATTTAAATCAATTATCAGTAAGTGCTTTCCCAAGCTACCCCACACATCTAACTGCCTCTACCCCTCAAGACAACAATTAGAACAGACCTGCAGCTATTACAGAATGGCATCATGCAGTAGAGTTAACGCTCAGATGCTACTGGATCGCTAACAACAACAACAACAACAACATTAGTAAGTGTTAGACAGAAGTGGAGAGGCTGATGATCTTTCCTCTTCCCAGTGAGATTCTTCTGCCAACAATTTGGATTGAGTCTGTGACAAGCATGTAATCATAATGATAATAATAATGAAAATAGCATTTGTATAGCGCATGTCCCCACTTGAAAGCAAGCTCTATGCGCTTCACTTTATACAATTAACCAATGTAGTCATCACATGGACTTGCAAGTTATTACACACAAGGCTAGAAAATAATTGCAAAGAGGGGCGGGGTGCCTAGTCATGCTTTCACGCAAGTCGTGTCTTTGTGTAAGCTGTCATGATAAAAGTACTTTTTTAGGTGAAGCGTTATTTTTTTTATACAACGAACTGGTTAGTCAGGTTTAACTGCAGCCAGAAAAAAAAACCCAGTTAATTTTTGGGATGTCTTCTCTCGTTACTTTTCTGTGGTATCATTTGACATGAGGTTCTGCTGTATCACTGTTGTGATTTATTTTTATAGACAGTTTTGAAATAGAAATACAACTTGAATAGTATGATTTGGACATTAAAATAAAGTTTTGATGTAAGAAAGTTTTCAAGTTTCTATTTTAACCATCAGTCTGTGTGGTAGCCAGTAAATCTGTTGCGGTTCTTGTTACTCAAAAATATTGTTATTGTTTCTCTGTTTATTTCTAACTTGCAGGAAGTTTAAATATTGCACCGAAAAAGAAAAGGTTGCAGGAAGCTGCAAGTGTGAAAAAGGTATGTCAAATGTTTCGTATATATGTTTTTAAGAGAAATGTTTTGTTTTATTTTCTACTATTGCTACCAAAATCTTCCACAGCAAAATTCTAACTTCAGCCTTTTGGCTAAATACACAATGTAACAACATTTGTTTCTTCTTCTCACCATGGTTGAGGGGAACTGTAGTTTCTTTTGTTCCTTCCATTTCACTTTCACACATTCAGAAGAATGGGGAAATATTAGAAATGTAACTGGGAACATGTTAGAATTTAAATTTTAACGACTGCTTAAGTTTTATTCGCCCTCCCCCATTGACACAATTTGGATTATTAAAGAGGTGGGATATTCCAAGCCTGCCTGTTCTCATTTGGCAAACGTAAGAGCGAATCATTGAAAAGTCGAAACACCTGTGCATGTGGTCGAGGGGTTAAAACGGTCGCTTTTAAGGACAAGCAGGCTAACCCAGATTTCGGGTGTTTCCCGAAGTCTTGACCTACACCAAAAGGGAGCATTGCCCTACCTATAGGAAAAGTTTGGTTTCATTGGTGCGTATATTGTTTGGTTATAGAGAAAACTCTCCTTGTCTTCTAAAGAAATTGAACATGACAGGGGTCCAAAAACTTTAACTTCGCTTTGACTTTTCTCTAAACAGCATTTTCCGGGATAGCCCCCTTGTTCTTAAAAGCGACAAAGTACATCTCTGCGCGCTCATATAACCTTATGCAGTTGCGAGCGCTGTAAAACACTTACCACAAAAAAAAAATATATATATATTTACATCTGTATACTGTATTGTAATGAGTCCCAAAAGCACAAATTATTGTACATAGCAAGTACTTCAGTTTTGCTTCCAAAAGAGCAATTGGGCATAAAGGGGAGTAACAAAGTAAAAGTAATCCGTCGACTTACGCACAAAATTGTATCCCTTTCTATTTTTATGTCTTTGAAAGCTACCTTGTTTATTCGTAAATCATATTACATAAAATTTGTATGAACAAAAATGTTGATGAAAGGGACCCACGCATGTTTGAAACCATCTATGGATTATGTATATAGATCTATATTTTATATAATGTATACAATTTAACAAATAATCCTAGGACTCCGAATAAAATATGCAGTGTTGGTAATCAGTACACATAACATGTTCGATGGTATCCATTTTAAAAGCGCACTGGTCGAAGACTCTCGCTTCACATAAGTGCGGGTGGTTGGTGGGTGACACTGGGAAGTAGATTTTTATTTCTTTTGTTTGAGCAACTTCTGTAAACTGAAAATCTAGCTAAGCTGAAGAAATTCTGGCCGTCCTGCATATTTGTTTAAGGGGACTCTGCTGTGTGTGTGTATATGTGTATAGATCTATAGATCTATAACTGTCCCCGTCGTTTTATGCAAGAAAAATTCTGAGCCCAAAAAATGTGAAATTATGCGAATCTGTTAATTTTAACAAAGAATGATAACGGAAAATAATCGGAAGTTATGCAAAAAATGATCAAATTTTGCTAAATTATGCGGGGTGCATAAAACCACAGGGACAGCTAGATGTGTGTCACAATGCGGTGGAATCAGGCGCTCGTATATATTTTGGGACAAATGAAGTTATGGTTTCATCTTAAAAGATGTTTGTCTTGCTTTTGAGTGAAATAATACCTGTTGAACTTTAACAGAAGTTGAGACATTTGGTCGCTTTTAAACACAAGGGAGCTATCCCGAAAAGTGCTGTTTTGAGAAAAGTGAAGGTAAAGTTTTTGGACCCTTGTTCAGTTTCTTTAAAAAACAAGGAGAGTTTTGTCAATAACCAAACAAATCTACACACCGATGAAACCAAACTTCTCCTATAGGTAGGCCAATGCCCACTTTTGGTGTAGGTCAAGATTTCTGGAGACCCCCGAAGTCTTGGTTAACCCCCTTGTCCTTAAAAGTGACCAATTGTGATTGAAGGAGATGGTGGTCGTCGCCTAGCTTCAGAGGGAAAATGGCTGCCAAAATTTGTTTACTTCCAAAGCTTGAGAGGCTTTGAAAACTGCATGTTTACATTTTTGTGTGCTTTTGATTAACTTTTAAAGTAAAATCCTCACAGAAATGTGTTTTTAAATGGGTGTAAATAAAACGTGTCGAGCCAAAAACTCACAGACCTGCGGAAAAATGCCAGTTTCTTCTCTTTGACCTTGATCATTTTGACGAATGCCTAATTTCAATTTCCCCACGCTGCCTCCCACATATACGTCATGTATAGTTTATGAGTGTCAAAATCTCTTGTTGTTCTTCCCTCGGTCGTTCACTGTTTGCTGATGGTGGTTGGCGGGTGCTCTAGTCTGGTTTGCTCCTTTTTTCCTATCATCAAACATCTATCGTCTTTATCTCTCCTTCTCCATCTTTTTTGTGTTTATTACTCTCTTGTAACACCTCTAATCTTTGGCACTCACATGACCTTATTGTGTTGCAAGTGCCTTAAAACTCTTACTAAAACTAAAATTTCCTATTTTGGTTATGACAGGGCCTGAGGAAGGGCATCAGGCTATCGTATATATTGTGTATGAGTGTGGAGTGCTCTTGTTGCTGTTCCCCTGTCGTTCACTGAGTTCCTTGTTATTCTTCCCCTCTGTCGTTCATTGTCCCCCTCTGCCATTCACTATATTATTGTATACATCTCTATGTGCTCCTGTTTCAGGGTCTAGAGAAGGGTATCCGTGTGTGCATCGAGGAGGAGCTCACCCAGAAGACGCGCTCCCTGGAGCCAAAGGCGCTGGCCATGTTGAAGACAACAGCCTCCACCTCCAAAAAGTAGCAGGACTATCGTCATTGTTATTGCTAATAAAACATGTAAATAAATTCATACATGCTGGAAATTGTTCAGTTATTTGTTTTGAAAGCTTTTGAAAAGACCATAGTGTGTGTGTGTGTGTTTGTCTGTGTGTGTTTCTCTTTGTGTGTTTGCATATGTATGTATGTATATGTATGTACATATGTATGTTTGCGTATTTATAAATATATGTATGTATATATGTTCATGCGCACACGTGTGTGTGTGTGTGTCTGTATGTTATACGACGCTCGCGGCTGCATTAGGTCACATGAGCGCGCGGGATACATTAAACATTTTCAGTTGGTAGGACATTTTTTAATTTCAACCGAAAAACAAAGGCGTTGAAAAAGACTTAGAAATGATAGTCCAAACTTTGTCATGACCATTTTTCTTCGTTTGAAACGTAGGAACCTTCGTGCAAAACGGCCTAATTTGTCGCATAAAACTGCAGCCCCATCACATCCAGCACAGACTTCACTGGGCACAGCGTTGCGTGTGATGGCCAAGGCTAAATCAACCCAGTTCTCGAGCCCAGTGTACTTTTCTTTCAAAATCAAGCCCATGGACAAGTATTCATGCGTGATAATGCACCCGCTCATAAAGCTGGTGTGGGGGCTCTCGTGGCCTAGAGGTTAAGGTGTTGGCCTCTCATTCAAAGGTCCCGGGTTCGAATCCGGGTAGTGACCAAAAAATTTTCTTCTCTAAATTTGTCTCCTTTCACCTCCTTTCCTACTCTGTTCTGTCGTCTGCTTTCGTCTCCTCTTTCTGCCCCCACTCCCTCATCTCCTTTGCCCCCCTCCTCTGGGCTCCTGATTCTTTCTACAACCTTTCTACTGCTACTCCTTGGCTTCTTCTTACTGCTGTCTTTCAGCCACACCCCTGATCTTCTGGTAGGAAAGATCTACACCTGGCCTTCTCGGACAAAGGTGAAAAATCTCGGAGGGCCCGTATGCAAGTTGCGCACGTTAAAGATCCCTTGGTGGTGTAAAATCGATAAAAGTAGGCTTCGGCCGCCACGCGGGCAAAATTCAAAATTTCCTACCAACTGAAAAAGTTTAATGTGTCCCACGCGTTATTATGACCTTATGCAGTTGCGAGCGCCGTAAAACACTTACAAAAACAAACAAACAAAGCTGCTCTGGCTAATAAATTTCTCAAAACTAGCAACATTCCTCTCCTGCGCTCATGACCAGCGTTTAGTTTAGTTTAGTAGAGGGTTTTACGGCGCTCGCAACTGCATAAGGTCATATGAGTGCCAAGGGGTGGATGTCAACAGAGAAGTCTTTACAGGGAATCAGACTTACTCTGCTCACCTCTCTAGCTTCAACAGCACAAAGTCTGCTTCGACTATCAAGGCACCCCGGAAATAGCAGGTCACAAGAGTGTGACAAACATACAAAAGAAGTAGAGGAAAATGACAATAGTAAGGATTAGGAAAGAAAAAGCAGCAGTTCCCTGTTGTAGATCAGGCACAGTTATGAGCATGACATGAATCAGCCCATTTACAATTCTACTGTGCATGAACGAGAAATGTCCCTCCTTTGGGAATGGCCTAAAGACACTACAGTCAGTGGCACTGTCCCGGGGGGGGGGGGGGGGGGGGGGGGGGATTTATATATGTCTCTTTTTGTTTTTTCCATCAAAAAAAAAATTTAAAAAAAAAAAAAGCGCGGCTCTTTATGCACTTTACATTACTGTATATTATTACCCCAGCTTAGACCATAGAACACTCAGAAACATTCTCAGCTTCCCTGGAAGCATGCGGTGCAACCGCGGATGGTTAAGCGCTTAAACAATCACTAACAAACTGACAAAATCTTTCGCTGTCTATAGCTGGGTAGGCTACCCATTTCCACCTAGGTGAAGTGAGGAAAATTCGTGTTAAGTTCCTTTACCAAGGACACAACGTCGGGCCCGCGGCTCGAACCCCCGAACCCGCAACCTCCGGTTTTTTAGAGAGGGGGGGGGGGAGAGGTTTAAAGCCGGGGGAGAAAAAAAAAGGGGGGGGGAGGGGGTTAAAGGCGGGGGGAGAGAGAAAGAGGGGGGGGGGGAGAAAGAGAGAGTGAGAGGGAGGGAGGAAGAGAAAGAGAGGGGGGGGGGAGAAAGAGAGAGAGAACGGGGGAGAAAGAGAGAGAATGAGATAGAGAGGGGGAGAGAGAGAGGGGGGGGGGGTAGAGAAGAACAACGACGAGATTTCTTACAAGAATAAGTGGATTGGACGGAACGCTTTTCAGCATAAACAACACTACGTTTTTATCTCTTCCTCCCTCCCCGACCCGTGTTCCTGCCAACGCACACCCACCCACACACATCCCCCTACACCCCCCCAACCCCCACACACATACACACACAAACATTTACATATTCGCGACCTCGGTGCTTTCTTGTTCTATCTCCATTTTTAATAACAGTGAAAATAGTCCATAACAAAGAGTGAGCTTCAAAAGAAGTGACATTTTCAACGTTTAATAAAATAGAGGTAGGACAAGAAAGCACTGAAGTTGCGATATGTGGTTAGTTGGTTTATTTCGGGAAAAGTAATCGAGTTCACTTACCAATTTGACCTTGAAGAAGAGAACAAGGGCATGGCGAGGCGTGAGCCACGGACTGTGGAAGACCGCGTGAGTCGTAAGCGGCAGTCGAGGGGAAACAGCATATTATTAATATGGTCGCTTTTAAGCACAAGGGGGCTATCCGGAAAAATGCTGTTTTGAGAAAATCGAAGGTAAAGTTTTTGCCCCTTGTTCAGTTCCTTTAAAAGACCAGAAGAGTTTTCTCTATAACCAAACAAATATACACACCTATGAAACCAAACTTATCCTATGGGCAGGGCAATGCCCACTTTTTTTTCGTAGGTTGAAATTTGTGGAAACCCCCGAAACCTGGGTTAGCCCGCTTGTCCTTAAAATAAGCGACCATTTGACATTGAAGAAGAAAACAAGGGCAGGGCAAGGCGTGAGCCACGGACTGTGGAAGACCTCGTGAGCGTGAGTGGCAGTCGAGGGGGTAAGAGCAGTCTCTCGTCAGAGCAAGTTGGTCAGCGTACGGTGCTGGATAGGGACAGTAGAGTAGGCTGTTGTGTGAAATGTGAGTTTGTGACTTCTCCATGGATATCCTGCTGTTGGTGATTTTTACTAGAGGTGAGTGTTTATAGATCAAGTTAAACTACAACATACACACACACGCACACACAAACACACACACACACAACTTTGTGAGCGCACACGACACACATACACACACCTCCAAACAGACAAACACACACAGACACATGCACACACTTACACACGAAAATCTTTTCTTCAAAGTTGGCAAGTGTGTAGGCCTAGTCTTCTGTGTGTACCTGATACATAACACACTTGCGTTTCGCTGAGCTAAACTGGTTTCATAAAAATAGAGGGTTTTTTACTTCGACAAAATGGTGTTTGGGGGGGGGGGGGGGGGGGCAAAAAAATATTCCTGAGACATTGTTGTCTTCCTCTAATACATTGTAACTAGAAATGAATTCAGTCAGTGAGTTCTCTTCGAGGCCATGCCACGTTTTTGTGGAGCTTTCACCAACTATCATTACCGAAAGAAGATATATTATTAGCTTCGGTTAAAAATGCTCGCTTTTAAGCACAAGGGGGCTATCTCGAAAAATGCTGTTTTGAGAAAATCGAAAGCAAAGTTTTTACCCCTTGTTCAGTTTCTTTAAAAGACATTGAGAGTTTTCTCTATAACCAAACAAATAATATTTGTATATTATACATGTACTCACCAATGAAACCAAACTTCTCCGATAGGCAGGGCAATATCCACTTTTTGTGTTGGTTAAGATTTCTGGAAACTACCGAAATCTGGGTTAGCCCGCTTGTTCGTAAGTCGTGTTTTACTATCGTATCCATGCGACGTGGGGAACTCTGTGCCACCACTTTCCAACAAGGAAATGTACTCGTTAATCCGATCCGTACACTAAAGCGACCAAATAAAAAGTGAGGCAAGAGTCATGGACCTCTTCGGTCTGAGTAAATTAAGGTTTGGGGGGGGGGGGGGGGCACACCAGCCAATCAGCAGACAGCTGCTTGGTGAACTCTATTCTCTGCAAGGTTTGCTTTTGAGCATTGAGCAGAAAAGAATCAGTTCGAAGCCAGCTTTTGTTGGGTGCGGAGTGTGGCGACAGTTCAGGCGTCTGCTCTTCCTGTGTTAAAACCTTGGACACGTATTCCTTCCTGCTCCCTGTGATTGACCTGATGAATCCGAGGCTGACAGACGACACGTCGATTCCAAATGAGAGGATGAGAGCAAGCTGTTCAGGTCTGTTGTTTGTTTGTTTTCTCTTTCATTCTTTCTTTTTCGACACCCCCCCCCCCCACACACACACACGCACATTATATTATGTCAACTTTAGTTCCTTCGTTTGTTTTGCTTTTCCCAAGCACTTAATGAACATGGTCAATGATCACGTGGTTGTGTATCTAGTTACTCAATGTGGTGTAAAGCGGCCCACACACGCTCAAACTTTTTCAACAAGGGACCGGGTCGGCCGGGCAGTAGAACTGTGGCCATTCGAGCGTTTTGTGGATCTATATTATATCTCGAGAACAGAAACATCATCATCCAGAAGTGGTCACCCTATCTTCATTATCCAGCTTCATCTAAAGAATCTGCTTCTACAAACTCCTACCAAAAAATATCTATCTTCCTTTTTTGTGTATGTTACTCTCTTGTAACACCTCTAATCTTCGGCACTTTTTGACCTTATTGTGTCGCAAATGCCGTAAAACTCTTACTAAAACTACAAAAATAAAACTCAGAATTTAGCTGATTTTACTTTAAATGTATTTTTCTCAGAAAACTGCCACTCATCAGACGTTTGGTCAAGAAGACACTGATGTTATCAGTAAGGCTACCATAGAATGTCAAAGACCAAACAGTCGCGAGCGCCGTAAAACCCCATACTAAACTAAAAGACCAAACAAAAAGCTGGCAGTGCTTGTTTGTTCCATCGAGTATACATTTTACAGAATCATTGATACAATTGGTCGCTTTTGAGCAC